TGTTGTTGTCGATCACGACCTATCAATTATTATCGTATGCTAGTTTGTGTGTTGTGACTTATCTAATTTTCTCTCCATAAATGGATGGATTTTGCGTAATGGTATGTGTTGTGTTGGTATATGTTTAAAAAATGGAGTATTGTTATTATCAATTAATGTTACTACCAATATTATCACCAGTTTGTTTTACCGTTAGATTATGTTGATCCAATGATTATATTTATTTCCACCTTTATATGGTTATGATTCCCCATATTTGAGGTGAAATTAAATATAGGGAGAAGAAAAAAGATTTTTACAAAGTTAAATTAGAACCGTTGGATTAACATAGTCGATCTAACGATGAAATAAATTGATAATGATATCCAGAAATCATGATAACTGGGAATATGGTAGGAATATTATTTTCTCGAGAATTTTACAAAAAAGGTTTTTGGTAGGCCAAAATATTTTCGGGAATATTTGTCATTTTTCCTGAGTGCATGTTTGGTTAATGACAAAATATTGCTGGAAATATGATATGAAATAACGAAAATAACCTGTTAATGATGTATGTATTTTAGAGACGATTATAAAGAAAATGAAAAAACACCACTCTGAGCTAAGAACGACATACTGACTCGGTGAACTCTTCTAGCATTGTACCCATGTTCTTCTTGAATGCTCCCAGATCAAAAAAAATTTTGTATTAGCTCTCATCGTCCTAGTATGCAACCATATCTCCCATTTTCTATTTCTTTTCCAAGCTTATTTCATGGATATGGAGTGACTATTTGTGTTACAGTGCCATTCAGCAAAACGAAGTGAACGAACAAATCCCCCGTATTTTTGCTAATCGTTTAACTGACAGGTCTGAAAGGGAATTCAGCAAAACGAAGTATTATGTTAACCAGAGAAATGAAGTGAGCAAACCAATTCAGCAAAACGAGCGAACGAACTTGTACCATAAGGGCTCAGGAGGGTATTTTCGACAGAGATTAATGTCAATGCTTTCCCAACTACTGGGAATGAAAAAATAACATGTCCAAGTTGGTATTCTGATTTTGGATTTGATAGTGTAAAAAAAATGCAGGGAATAAATTTTTTCCAAATAAATTTTAACTTGTACCAAATGTGAGAATAAAATTTTTCCAATAGCAATTTCCCAGGCAACCAAAATAAACCATTGTACCAAAATAATGGCTGGGTAAAAACGACGAAAGAAAAAGAATTTGGAAGAGGAGGTAACAATCTAATATTTTTAAGAATTAATATGTCGAAGTGTTGTGTCCGGTGTCCCATGTTGGAGTCAATGCAACATAGGTTTCCACTAAATTCATTTCTAGGTTTTAGGTAATTTTGTTTAATTGTATTTTTATCTCAAAACTTTTATTATTTGCACTTTTATGCCAAAAAGTGACTTACCTTGAAAATTAAAGTTTTCATCTAATCAACCTCTTTTAACTATTAAGTGATTCCCAATTACATAATTTAATTAGTCGAGTTATTATATTCACACTTCCTTTTAAGAATTTTGACCACAAAATTAAAGAAGTTACCTATCTCTCAACTCGGGATAATGACTGACAAGTTTATATTTCTGTTTAATACCTTGCTCTAAGTGTAAGCTCACAACAAATACTCTAGTGTTTGAATAGTTAGCTTAGTTTGATCATCTACCTCTGAAATTACAAGTTATGTTAAGCCTCAACTAGGGATCAATGAGGCGTTTGGTTGAGGAGAAATTTTTATGAATCATAGTAAAATGTGATTAGTAAGGAAATGGTTGGAAAATGAGTTTGGTAGGAAAATGTAAAAAAAGTTGTTTGGTAAGGGAAAATTTTACCGGGAGAATTAGATAACTTTTGTAAAATTTATGTTTGGTTTTTGGTAAAATATAGATGGGAAAAAAATGTGATATTACAAAAATATCTTTGTTTTTAAAAAATGTTGATAAGCCTTGCTGCCCTTTACCCATAAAAAAAAGTCTTTTCCTTATTACACAGTATACCCAAATGCATAGCTAACTAAGAAAACCACATCAGAAAAGGGTTTCTTTGGCCTGTTTTCTTGCTTCAAAATGCTAGATAAGGTGATTTGCTAGCAAAGGAATTTAGGTACCTAAATTAGAAACCTCTCTCAACCAAACATGGACATCCAATTTCCCCACTTCACATTTGTCTATTAATCTCTTCAAAAACCTCCAACCAAACACACCCCAAAGGTATTCTGCAGAACTCCGTAAAATCGAGAAGTAAACTTCATATTCTTATTACTTAATAATACTCTCAAGCATCCTATAAACTTTAACAATCTCTCTTGCATCAATTTGGGTCAACTTATTGCCAGAGAAGTCACTTTCAATTTCAGAAAATGCACTAACTTAATTAGTCTATCAGCAATAACCCGCATGGAATCATAATCCGCATGGAATCATAATCTACTTGCTTCCTAGGCAATACAACCATAAAGTTGTAATTTTGTTTTAATCTCGAACTTTTTAATATTTTAATTACATTATAACATGAACCAAAACCCACAGATTTATTAAATGAATCATTGTTTAAAAATCCGGCCCGGCCATCGATCCGACCGAGGTCAGGGGTCATGGAGTCACAGGTTCAATCGGGGGGTCACAAGGTCACTATGCTGACCCGGTTTTATATATTAAAAATATATAAATATATATATCATATATAAAAATATTAAAAAACAAACCACTAATTATCAAAGATTCAAAATATACTTAACATAATTCTCTAATTACAACCACAATATTACACAACCTAATTAAAGTATCAAGATACCAAAGTACAAAACTCATATTCTAATGAGATCAATACGCTGACCTGGTTCTGCCTTTTTGGAGAAGGTCCCTGACAAAGAAAAATTTAAAGGAAGTAAGAATAAGTTTTTGTTTTCCATCGATGACCGTAAGGATTTCTTTTGAATAAATAAAATTCTTACCTTTTCTAGAAGATTCACGTCTACGAGGTGAAGATTGAAGACATATAGATAACTGGGAGAGAAGAGAACGATTAGATTTAGGTTTGCAAGCATTTTTATTTTTAATTTTTTAATAAAACGAAATTGTTTCATGGAATTTTTTTTTTAAAAAAATAAACATGCAGTGATCCCCTTTGACCCCTCTGACCCGGGAGTCACTGAAACCCGACCGGGCTTTGGGGGTCGGAGGGGTTAATGTGCATATAGGGTCCAACTTGTGACCCCAACCCTCAGAGAGTAGGGGTCAGGGTTGACCCGGGTCAACCGGGGGTGGGGTGAAGTTTTAAAACACTGAAATGAATTATGAAAAACCCAGTTTATTTGATTATCTTATTGGGTTAAGCATTTTTTTCTCGGATTATTATCTAATGTCAAGAAGCCAAATAAAAAGAGAATGACATTCGTGAGATAAAACTACTTAAAAAAAGAAATTATGCAATTCAAATTCTATGGATATTCTTTAAATTTCATATATTAAATAACAATATCTTATGCATCATTAATAAAATAATTAGAAACTAATTCATTTTAAGGCTTTTTCTAACTCAACCACGATTCAAATTACCCACTAAATAACTTAAATTAATTAATGTTTTTGAAATGAACTCAACTTGAATAATAATAATAATAAAATATAGAAATAAGAGTATAAGACCTTGTATTTAGGGCCGGCCTTATCCTGTTATCCATCCCAGAAGCTCAAAGAGGCTGCCACGTGTAGGCACGAGGAGAAACGTTGTGAGTTATGTTTTGTGGAGGTTCGCTCCGCCAAAGAAAAGTCATTCTCATTCACAACGGATCCCTGGATATTTAAGATTTTTTCTTAGATTATTATAATAAACAATTTAAAATTCCAAAGAAGAGCATAACATAATAAGAAAAAATATAATGAATATAACTTCAGAAAAATGTTTATGCAGATACTGCATATAGATTATTTGCATTAACTTTCAAAATGATATTATTTTGATGTTGAAATATTAAAAATTTATAATTATAAAGATTATTATTATCTTGAAATAAATTAAAATTACAAAAATACTTTGATTTCTGCTTCAAAAAGACATCGTTTTGGACTTAATTATAGATAACTTATCTGCATTAACTACTGTAAAAAAAATGAACTCATATAACTTATTCCTGCTATTGTTATTATATTTACGGTAGGAGGAAGAGAGAATATGGATTCGTGGGTGCGAAAATTGATGTGATATCTCGTGAGAGATAGAGATGGCAAAACGAGTTCAGCCCGTCCCGTCAGTCAAATGGGATGGGTCGGGCTAAGTTTTTCAAACTTGCCGCCTGTCAGTTCTCCTGGGCTGGATTTTTTATTTTTATTGTAAAATGTCACCGGCTTGGCAAGCAACCCACCCTGCCCGCCCAAACGAGACGAGAGGAACTGACTTTTTTTTGGCCATCTTTAAAGACGGAACTGAGTGGGCTAGCCCATTTTATGGCGGGCTGGGACGGGGCGGGGGGCAGCCCACTTTGTCACTTCTAGCGAGAGACACTTATAAATAAAAAATTTAATATATTTCATATTATGAAAAGTGTTTGATGTTTGTTATTTTAAATGACATAAGTTATGTCATTCTAGGAGAGAGACAGACATAAGAAATGAAAATCATGGAGAGAAATGTGTGATTTTTTTGATTAAAATTTAAAATAAAAAATATTATTTTGTGTTTCTCTCTTAAAAAGACATAATTTTATGTCATTCAAAATGATAAACATTTTTCCTTTTTCGTATTATTATAAAAAATAATATTTATTTTATATATATATATGAATTGTTTTTTGTCAAATAAATTTTTTTTATTAAATTTAAATTATTTTGGAATGGAAATCAAAATATTTTTATAATTTTAATTTATTTTAAAATTTTAATAACAAATATTATTATAATTTTTAATTTGTCAAAAAATAAACATAATTTTAAAAATAAATGGTACCTTATTTATATATTCGCCTATAAAAACACTTAAAATGGTTCACGCACTGTTATATTTGCAGAAATAATAAACCCTAAAAATACGTAAACATAGAGGAAGTGTGGTTGGAACTTGCGGTTCAATCTGCATCTGTTCCCCTTCTTTAACAGCAACACCTTTTGTGTTTCTCTCTTCACATTGTTCCTTCGATTCAATTGTTTTTGTACTGTGAATCAAAACCAAACCTCGTCTCACCTCACAGGTATTACTACTTCCTTTTCCATGTTAGATCACTGTTTCCTCAACAAGTTCTCCCAACCGTTTTCCTCTCTTTCTCTTCTTAATTTCCAATCTATTTTTGGCATATTAACTGTGATTTAAAAAAAAAAAATCAATACTTATCTTTTTTTATGATCTGCCTCACAGAAAGCTCAGTTTGTTTCCTCAATAGAAAAAATGATCCGCGTTTTTATTTTTTATTTTTTTTGGTACCTGTGAAATTTTATTTTTTTCATTTACAATTCCAATTTGGTTTTTCTGTTATTTCCATAGGTCTATAGGTAAGGTGTATAGACTGTGATTAGAGCTGAGTGGTTGAGAAATTCTGAGCGTAATTATAATTTTAAGTTATGACAAAAATTTCTTCTTAAACAGGTTTAGCGTAAACTTTTCAAGTTTCATTATTGAACACTTCGATGCAGAAAAATACTGGAGATATTACAAGCCACTTACTTGGAGGTTTATATTGTTATATAAGAAAATGCTTGTTTGCCATTTTATCTGTGGGTCCTGTACCAAATCATATTTCTTTTATCATGGATGGGAATCGAAGGTACGCAAAGAAGAAAAACATGCAAGAAGGTGATGGCCATAAGGCTGGATTTTCAGCTCTCCTGTCCATCCTTAGATACTGTTATGAATTGGGAGTGAAGTATGTATCTGTCTATGCATTCAGCATTGATAATTTTAGAAGGAAGCCTACAGAGGTTCAAACCTTGATGGAATTGATGCGAGTAAAGATTGAAGAGTTGCTTCAACAGGATAGCATTATTAATGAATATGGTATTAGACTACATTTCATTGGTGACCTGCGACTATTGAACGAACCTGTAAGGCTTGCTGCGGAAAAGGCAATGAGAGTTACTGCCCACAACAATCAGAGAGTTCTTATAATTTGTGTAGCCTATACTTCAAGTGATGAGATTGTGCATGCTATTGAAGAATCCTGCAAGGACAAATGGAATGAAGTTCAAGCATCAAAAGCTGCCAAGGTTTCCAATGGTGCGTTTGCAAGAATTGATCAGGGCCTGATAAGAAATGGTTTTGATTTGCGTTTTCAAGATTCATGCGAACCAACCAAAACAAGTAGTAGTGTAACTAAAGGAGTGGGAGGTGCTGGAGAGAAAGATGGCGTGTTTGAGCATAATGTTGGAAATCATAATGGTAATTACAGTGAAGATGAAATCACATCATGCAATGGGGTGGTTGAAATAACTGAAGAGAGAAAGTATAAGCAGGGTGAGCTTCCTTCCATTAAACTGGTAGATATTGAGAAGAACATGTACATGGCAGTGGCACCTGATCCAGACATTTTGATCAGAACTTCTGGAGAGACTCGTCTCAGCAATTTTCTTCTTTGGCAGACTTGTACATGCCCTTTGTATGCACCAACTGCACTTTGGCCTGAAATTGGTCTAAGACACTTGGTCTTGGCAGTACTCAACTTTCAGAGACACCATTTTTACTTGGAAAAGAAAAAGAAACAGTTTTAATTGTAACCTTATCAGCCAAAGTTTAGAATGTAATTCATGTGATGGCAGATTGCTTTGCTTTTTAGACCATTTTTATGTTTTTGTTTATTTTTCTTTGATAACAAATGTTGAAATTATGAAGGGGAATCTTGACACAACTATTGGTGTTGTTGTCATGTGATTCGGAGGTTCGATTTGGACAACAAAGGTTGAATTCATGTAATCAGCCTCTCTTGTTATAGACATGGGTCTGGCTAAACCCTTATCTCAATTTGCGCATAGGAAGTGTTTTGTAGCATCATGCTGTTTTAACAAATGTTGAAATTACCAAGATTTGGATGGAAGTGAAAAGGAGAGTTTTAACAAAATATACATGAATGTATGTTGTGTAAATAAACTGTCAAAATGGGTCAGTTCGTCCCATTAGGCCCTAGCCCGTGTGGGTTAGGGCCAAATATAGGGCTTGCCCGTGGGCTTCTGCCCATTTTGACACCTCTATATAAAGCTGTAAGGTTTTCTCTGATGATGGTATTCAAACATCATCCATTAATTTTCTGAAACTCGTGTATTGAGATTATAGTGATTGTTTCATGTCTTGTCTTACATAATGGGCTTTATGTCACAAATGAAATAACATATATTTTTTATAATACGTGTACACAGACAATGACTGTTGTTTAACTGCTTATTAAGCAGTTGGCTTCGCTTTAGGTGAATTATTTGCCAATTCTAGGAGAACTGTTATGTGAGCTGTGAACCATGCTTCCTTTATTAAGCTCTCACTTTATCTATTTCTATTCCAGGTACACATTTCTTTGGCAGGAGACAAGCACATAAGAGTTACCTGGATAACTGATGATAAACATTCACCTTCATTTGTAGAATATGGAACATCATTACCCGGGAGATATGACTCAGTAGCTGAAGGAGAGTGCACCTCTTATAGTTATCTGTTATATAGCTCAGGATAGATACACCATACTGTAATTGGGCCTTTGGAAGATAATATCGTGTACTTTTACCGCTGTGGTGGACAAGGTCCTGAGTTCCAGCTCAAAACACCTGCAGCTCAATTCCCAATTACTTTTGCAGAGGCTGGGGATCTTGGTCAAACTGGTTGGACTGAATCAACGTTGGCTCATATTGACCAATGTAAACATGATGTGTACCTGCTTCCAGGAGACCTTCCATATGCTGATTGTATGCAACATCTGTGGGATGCATTTGGTAAGCTAGTGGAGCCACTTGCTAGTACAAGGCCATGGATGGTAACAGAGGGAAACCATGAAAAGGAGAACATACCATTGTTAAAGAATGGGTTTGCAGCCTATAATTCCAGGTGGAAAATGCCATTTGAGGAAAGTGGATCAACTTCAAATATCTAATATTTTTTTGAAGTTGCAGGTGTTCGCGTTATCATGCTTGGCTCCTATGCAGATTATGATGAATACTCAGAACAATACACATGGCTAAAGGTTAGTTGATGCCCCAACTGATCAACAGTAACTATATTAGGATAAGTGTAACGGATGGAATCCATGGCCTGCTATAAGTGGATGGACTAGATAATATATATGGATATCATCTTCTGTAATTCTTTAGGAACATTATTATTGTTATTATTATTTGTGTTTTTTACTCTATACTTTATCATTTTAAAGAGGAAAGTACACTGGGAAATGGATTAAAGCTCAAAATAATTTCCATTATAATAAATAACACATTTCAGATCCATTAAGGGAAGATTAAATTAGATCTCTAGGCAGTCTTGAAATATTTAGCTCATGATCACCAGGGGCATTTAAAAGGATCCCCATTTGATATATCTGGTCATGCCATTGGCCACAAATTTGCCCCCCTGTTTAATTTTTCCTCATCCCTCTCTTCAAGGCAGATCTGTTAAAGGTGGACGGGGAAAGGACACCTTGGCTGCTTGTGTTATTTCATGTGCCTTGGTATAATAGTAACAAGGCTCATCAAGGTGCAGGGGATGATATGATGGCAGCTATGGAGCCATTACTTTATGCTGCTAGTGTTGATTTAGTTCTTGCTTGTCATGTTCATGCTTGTGAACGTTTGGTATGCCTTTGTGGTTTGGTATTTTTTTTTTTTATAAGCATGATTTAAGGGAAACTGGGTCCTAAGTGGTACTTTGTCTCATTGACAGAAACGTGTGTTTAATGGAAGATTCGATCCCTGTGGTGCTGTCCATATCACTGTTGGTGATGGAGGAAACAGAGAAGGCTTAGCTCATAAGTAAGTTATCAATGCCAGATACATTCCATAGAAATCTGTTCTCTGAATAGTTTATGTGAAAAAATCTATATTGAGGTTGTTAGTCAGCAAGTTTGTGGCCCAAGATTTGTTTTTTGAATGTTGCCGGATGTATCCTTACATCATTTTTTGTTGACAGGTATATAAACCCACAGCCAAAGTGGTCAGAATTCCGCGAAGCCAGTTTTGGTCATGGTGAGCTGAAGATTGTAAGTTCCACTCATGCCTTCTGGAGTTGGCACAGGAATGATGATGATGAGTCAGTTTAAGCTGATGATATATGGATAAACTCTTTGTTCAGATCAGGATGGTGTTGATCAGAAGAGACACGAACTCAGGAGTATGCTTATGACACCCTAAAAGCCCCAGGTCTGCTGCTGTCATTCCTTAACTAGGTGGATAGCAAAAAGTTTGGTATATGTAGACAATTCCAAAGATTAGTATATAAGATTACTAGCAGCTTGAGTGTGCTGGTTGTTGTACTTGTATTTAAATACTTAGGACTTGGAATAGTCTGGAAGAGTATATGGATGGTTGTCTATTTACAATTGATAATATTGCTAGTATTATTGTGTGAACTTGTAAGATTGTTTCTATTTAGGAAAACTAAAACTTGGTTGCTTAGTAACCAGTGACAAATGTGTTTAGTTTATATTCTTGACTGGCATTTAGATTTGATTCCAAATGCAATGATTAAAATCATGATGATTCTTTGTACTAAAAAAAAAAATTCATGATGATTCTACTAGGATGCACAATGGTCTAATTAACAAAATGCCTTCAATCTGAAATCATTGTTTGCTGATAGTCTGATAACAGGGTGAAGGGGATAAGATAGAATGTAAACCCCCCAATCTATGAATAAAACTGTAAAAACCGCAAAGCGGTAAATAAACATTAAGTTAAAACTTCTGGGTCCGCTCATTCTGTCTTGAACTACTAAACACTGATTTCACCCAGTCTGAACCAACAAATGAAATCAGGTTTTGAGAATACAGTTACATGTATGACTTCATAGCGATTTTAAGATGTCCAGACAAACCAAGTTCGAATAACAGATATCAGTATCTCGTGAATTCCAGCTTGTAAAATCTTTCTCCTTCCTCCCATAATCTAAATTAAGACACTGTCAACAAATTACAGATACGCTTTGACTCCCTCTTATTTAATATTTTTTTTTCTCACTTGACATAACTTCCAACCATTCTCCCCATTAGTTGTATTTTTGTTATAAAAATAAAGAAGAAAGGTTTAGAAAAGATAAAAAACAATGAATTATCAAAACACTAATTCTTCAGAAAATTTTATTTTCTCTTCTCCATCTTTCTTCCCAAGAAAGTGTATGAAAGGGGCTACAAGTATGCATTAATACACCATTATTTACGAATGCTAAAGGTTGTAACCATGAAGCATATAATGACACCCCATAATCTCTACGTTGTAATCACAAAGCCTAATAAAACATTGTTTTTATAATGGTAAAAACTATTATCATGTTATATGAGATTAGTTTTTTCTCTTATACATCATTCGATAATTATGCAGTTTTTTTCTTTATTTTTTTAGATGGTGGAGCTTACATATTTATCTCTATGACATGAGATAATTTATCTCCTTTAACATAAAATTAGTAACACTCTTTTATTATTTTCTTGTAAAAAATACCCGGCTAGTGACATACCATCTATCCCAAACCCCCCAACTGGTACATTCGTGTCGCTGTCTCTTTTGGCTGAAGTTTCTATCATGTTCAAAGTTCCAGCTAATTGCTTGCCGTGTCTCTTGGTTTGATGATAATACCCGTAAGCATCGGCAGACAAGATTCTGTTAATTTCCTGAGGAGAGACTCTAGCTGGCTGCACTAATAATACCTAGTAATGCAACTAAAGTGAAGGACTTTATGAATAATACCCTCCACGTATTTTAGGTTACCCTAACCACACAAAATATTAGATTCATAACCCAAAATAGGAATACATCTGGACTGTGCAAATTGATTACAGCATCCTTTGTCACAATAGAAACTGGAAAGCAATAAAACAGCCAAAATAACCACGAGAAAATCCAATGCCTCTTCTACAATATCTTTCTAATTATTAACTAACCTCTCTTAATAAAGAAAACTTCATATGCATAATATAACAAACGAAAGGGTTACATATACCTCACAGTCTACATAACTTCTATGATTTGCATTCTCAAAAGCAAGTAACTCATCATGACGCCACCTGCATGAACTAAACATGGATTTAGCAACAGCATATATAGTTTCTTCACCTGTCTAAACCCTTCTCAAGATGATAAGAAAATTATTTTATTTTTTAAAAAAAAAAACCTTTCAATGCTAAGTTTCTCAATAGCTGCCTTCTGATTTGACGGTGTACAAGCTCAGAGTCTCTAACTGTGTGATTGTCAGGAACAACATCTAATGCTTCTATAATGTCAGTGTGGGAGGAAATTGGTTCGTTGCAACTTTCAACAAGGCTATTTGTATGATCTCTTCTTAGTGAGGAAGAGTCATGCATTTAGGACATCCATAAGACCTGAATCGTAGGAAGGTGAACTTGGGAACCTAGAAAAATCAAATGATAATTTTGTATAGTGAAAAACTAAACATAAATATAGAATCGAAGAGAAACCCAACCAGATTTAATTGATGAACAGAAAAATTAGATGCTCTTAAATATGACTATTACCACAAACTGGGTCTTTGTATATCACCAACACATAAAGCTGGAGGTGCCTGTAAAGTACTAGGTTCCGAACAATATAAAACAAAGGTCATCTTTCTAATTTTCTTTACATTAATAGTTATTTTTGTTATTAAATTTTTTAAAGGTGCTATATACTATAATTTGCAAGAAAGAATGAGTTCGAATTTATTAAATTTTAGGAATGATATTTAATAATATCACTAATAAAATTTCAGGCCATTAAAATTGATATTACAGTAATAATCGAAATGTAGTATTAATAAAATTTAAGCCCACTAACCTCAAATTTTAATAATATAAATATGCCACCTTTTAAAAATTTATTTATATCATTAATAAAATTTAAAGCCATCACTAATAATATAAATAATAGCATTAATAAAATTTAAATAAACTAACCTAAGGTTCTTAAAAAAATAAATATAGGACCTTTAAAGAATGATTGACAGAAACGTGTGTTTAATGGAAGATTTGGTCCCTGTAGTGCTGTCCATATCACTAGTCTTCTACGTGTTTTACATTCCATTATAGTGTCCTTCATGACTTTCTGCAATTCTAGAAAAAGACATTTCATGAATGTTTACTGAAATCTCGGTTCCAAGGACCTGACTTTGTGACCTTCTTCGCGTTGCGTGAATTACATTGCATACCGATACTAACTACTTCTAACATTGCACTCTTATCAGTTTCCATTCTTCTTTGATTTTGGAGACCCAACACTCCATCCTTACTCTTACTAACATTTCCTCTCATGGCTGTTCAAGCATTCTCATCTTCCTTCTTCACCTATGGATTCAGTTTCGACGTGTTCCTCAGCTTCAAAGGCACAGATACACGCTACGGTTTTACTGGAAATCTCTACAAAACTCTTCAAGACAAGGGAATCCACACCTTCATTGATGATGAGGAGCTTCAGAGAGGAGAGGAAATCACACCATCACTTCTCAGGGCAATTGAAGAGTCCAGGATTGCTATTATTATACTCTCTGAAAACTATGCATCTTCTTCATTCTGCTTAGACGAACTTTCCAAGATCATTGATTGCATTAAGGGAAACGGTCGATTGGTTTTGCCTGTTTTTTATGAAGTGGATCCATCTGATGTGCGAAAGCAGAGAGGGACCTTTGGAGAAGCAATGGCTATGCATGGGGAGAGGTTCAATGATAACATGAATAAGTTGCTAAAATGGAGGATGGCTTTGCAACAAGTAGCTAATTTGTCCGGCTATCATTACAAACATGGGTACCAAACTTCACCAATCTTTTACCTTTGATTTTGTTTTATTATTTTTCTTTCGTTGACCTCGAACCAGTTAAATCATTATATATCCAACACTTTGAATTGTAATAACATAAATATCAAGAAATGGATGTGAGACGTTTGGTTTGACTTCACAAAACTTTTCTTATCCATTCAACAGGGAAGGATATGAATATGAGTTTATTGAGAAGATTGTTGAATTGGTCTCTAGCAAGATTAATCGTGCTCCTTTACATGTTGCGGATTACCCAATTGGACTAGAGTCACGAGTGCTACATGTAAAGTCGCTTTTGGATGTTGGAAATGATGATGGTGTCCACATGGTAGGGATCCATGGAATTGGGGGTATAGGTAAAACAACCCTAGTTCTAACTATTTATAATTTGATTGCTGACCATTTTGATGGCTTATGTTTTCTTGAGAACGTGAGAGAAAATTCAAACAAAAAAGGGTTAAAACATCTCCAACAAGTCATTCTTTCTGAAATGTTTAGAGGGAGAAAAATTAAGTTAACAAGTGTCAAACAAGGAATTTCAATAATACAACATAGGCTTCAACAAAAGAAGGTTCTTTTGATTCTAGATGATGTTAACAAAATAGAGCAACTAGAGGCCTTGGCTGGAGGATCTAATTGGTTTGGTCCTGGCAGCAGAGTGATCATTACCGCTCGGGACAAACATTTGCTGGCAAGTCATGGGGTTGAAAGAACATATGAGATCAATGGGTTAAATAAGACAGAAGCTCTTGAATTACTTAGGTGGAATGCTTTTAAAAATAACAAAGTTGATCCAAGTTACAAGGACATTTTAAACCGTGCAGCAACTTATGCTTGTGGACTTCCATTGGCTTTGGAAGTAATAGGTTCCAACTTGTTTGGAAAAAGTATAGAAGATTGGAAATCTGCCTTAAATTACTATGAAAGAATTCCAAATAAAGAAATCCAAAAGATACTTAAACTAAGCTTTGATGCTTTGGAGGAAGAAGAGAAGAGTGTTTTTCTTGACATTGCTTGTTGCTTCAAAGGATATCAATTCGCAGAGGTCAAAGATATACTTCATGCTCATTATGGTGAATGCATGAAATATCATATTGGAGTGCTAGCAGAAAGATCTCTTATAAAGATTAGCTCGGGTTGGGTGAGACTACATGACTTGATAGAGGACATGGGTAAAGAAATTGTTCGACGTAAATCACCGAAAGAGCCTGGGAAACGCAGTAGACTATGGTTTTCTGAAGATATATTTCATGTTTTGGAAAAAAATACGGTGAGTAAAATTGATATGGGAGGTTCTATTTTTCATCTTTAACCTTGATTTATCTCTTTTAGACTATTCTATCCTCACGTCTTAATATGCAATGTTTTTCTTCTAAATATGTGTGTTGAAGATACATATATACATCTATAAAAGACTAATTCGTGATTTATGTGATAAAAGGGAACGAATGCGATTGAAATCATATATTTGGATTTCCCCTTATTTGGCGAAGAAGAAGTAATAGTACAATGGAATGGAAAGGCCTTCGAGAATATGAAAAACCTCAAAACACTTGTTATAAGAAAAGGTCATTTTTCTAAAGGTCCCGAACATCTTCCAAATAGTTTGAGAGTTCTAGAATGGCAGAGATTTCCTTCACAACATTTACCATCTGATTTTCTCCCCAAGAAACTAGCCATATGCAAGTTACCCAAAGGTTGCTTTACGTCATTAGAGTTGGTTGTCTTATTGAAAAAGGCAAGTTAATGAACTCATTTCCCTAATCTCGTGTATTAATAAATTCATTTTTAGATTATTCACTAGTTTTTTTCTTTATTTGTTTTTCGTTTTTTTCCTTCTTTTGCAGGAGTTTGTGAGATTGAAAGTTTTGGATTTTGATGAGTGTGAAGGTTTAACACAGATACCTGACGTATCTGGTCTCCCAAATTTAGAAAAGTTTTCTTTTGAAGGGTGTGTGAATTTAATTACCATTCACGATTCAGTTGGGTTCCTAGATAAACTTAAAATCTTGAATGCTAATGGATGCACCAGACTTGGAAGTTTTCCACCGATCAAGTTGAGCTCTCTAGAACAACTCGATCTTTCATGTTGCTCAAGTCTCCAGACTTTTCCTGAAATAATAGGAAAGATTGAAAACATAAAATATATTGACTTTTATGAAACTCCCATAAAAGAATTGCCATTAGTATTTCAAAATATTACTCAGCTTCAAGAATTATTTGTCAGTGACTGTGGAATTGTTCAGTTAACAAGTGTCGTTGTCATGAAGTCAGAATTGACTGTGATTACCGGTTCAGATTGGAAAAAGTGCCTATTTCCAAAAGAGGATGAGGTTCAAGAAATCATGGTGTCTTCAAACGTAGAATATCTTCAGCTTGAACAGTGTAACCTGTTAGATGAATTTCATCCAATAGGTTTCACTTGGTTTGCTAATGTAAAAGATGTAAAACTCTCGGGTATTGATTACACAAATATTCCTGAAGGTGTCAAAGAATGTCGCTTTATGAGCAAGCTTAATTTGGATGATTGTAAACATCTTAAAGAAATGAAAGAGATTCCACCAAACTTAATATATTTCTATGCAAGAAGCTGCAAATCTTCGACTTCCTCGTCTAGAAGCATGTTGCAGAAACAGGTTTTTTTTCTTTTTCTTTTATGCATTTGATTTGATGATTGATAGTGTGCTTAATGTTTCTGAACTTATGAATTACTTATGACTAACAGGAAATACATGAGGCTGGAAACACCATGTTTGTTTTAGGAGCAGCAAGGATTCCAAAGTGGTTCAACCACCACAGCAAAGGACCATCAATTTCTTTCTGGTTTCGTAACAAGTTCCCTGCCATAGCTCTTTGTCTTGTTATGGACAACGTGTCTAATGACTTTACACCAGTCGTGATCATCAATGGTGACATATATGACAATAACAACATGGTGCAAATGGATCAAACATATCTTTATGATATGCAAAAGAAAAAACCCAACCATAATCGAGTGCCTTTAGAAAATGAATGGAACCATGTGGAGGTTACGTGTGAGTTTTGGAAAAAAAATCAAAAGATACCAATCCTTAAGGAAAGCGGAATCCATGTATTCAAACAGAAAACTAAGATGGTGGTTGTTCGATTCACTAATCCTTATAGAAATAGAAAATTAGATGATAATCCCAATAGTTCAGAATCACAAAACCACCCGTTGCTGAAAAAACATAAGTTCGTGGACACAACTCAATAGTAACATGGAAGTGAGACACAATTTGTTCAACAACAGCGACATGTATTAATGCTGATAAGGGCCATCACTAGCGTCAAGGTAAATTTTCTTATGTTGTGATATATAATTGTAACTAATTTTAGTTGTGTTTATTGATCTTTTGCATAAGTCGAATAAAAGAAAAGTAGTACCAAGACTAGAGTGCTTGATTATTGTGCCTGATTATTGGCAACTCGCCAATTGGACATCAGCCTCTTAATAGGTCAACCCAAATCAACAAAAATGGGGAGAAGGAAGAAACACGATACACACAAATTTTTTTAATGCAAAACCCTTTCAAATGCAGAAAGGTAAAAATCACATAATCTAGTCTTGAAAATATTTCATTATGAGAATAGTAGGATTACAAAAGTTCTTCCCTAGTGACTCACTACTGTTAGACAAGAATGATTAAATTCACATGAAGGGGGTGAATTATGGTTACTTCTTTTGCAAGAAACCTACTCCCTTAAGGCCCTTTTCACTTAGAAACAAAAGAAAACGTCCAAGAACGGAAACCAAATCCTTTCTAACTCAAAAACAGAATGAAATTAGAAATGAAAACACGACAAACACAAAATCAATCGTGAACCTACTCCCCTAAGGCCCTTTTCACTTAGAAACAAAAGAAAACATCAAAGAACAAAAGCCAAACCCTTTTCTAACCCGAAAACAGAATTAAATCAAAAATGAAAACACAACAAGCACAAATCAAATGCAAAAATTAAAGAGATAAAGGTTTAGAATATTAAACACAAAATCAAATGTATTTTGAAAGATTGTTTTCATAGTTCTTGCCAATTCTTCTAAGGTGCGATTTTTTCTTTCAACAACTCCATTTTGTTGAGGGGTCCTTCGAGAGGAAAAGTTATGTCATATGCCATGCTTTTCACAAATTTTTTCAATTTTCAAATTCTCCTCCATGGTCACTTTTAATATACACAATGTTCATATTCTTTTCATTCATGACATGCTTTACTAACTTTTAAAATGATCGATATGATTCATTCTTGTGATGTAAGAATAATATCTATGTGAACCTAGAATAATCATCAATGGTCATAAGTGCATAGTAATTGCCACCAAAATAGTACTTATGCAATAACTCAAGTGGCCTAGAAGTAGAATCAAAATTCTTACTTTTAAATGATGTTTTAACATTGTTTCCCTTTTTGCCATGCATCAAGCATCTTATCTTTTTCAAATTTGAGTTTAGCAAACCAATTACTAAATCCTTTTTGACTAGTTTATTTAGATGACTCATTTGAATATGTGCAATTAGTCTATGCCACAACAATTACTCATCATCCTTACTCAACAAGCATTAGAATCATGTGAAGAAAAATCATCAGGTCAAGCATGTATGCATTATCAAATTTATGATCTATGAATTTAAATTCACCATTAAGCATCTAGTAATGTTGCATGTCATAGAATCAAAAGTGATTTGAAATTGCTTATCACATAATTAGCTAATGCTAAGTAAGTTGTATTTCAAACCTTCCACAAGTAGCACATTTTTAATGTAATTAGTTGAAAAATTACCAATTTTGTCAATTCCAAGGATCTTGCCTTGGTTATTGTCTCTATAGGTGACATGTCCATGTTGTTTCATGATCATTGATGAGAATATAGTTATATTCCCAGTCATATGCCTGGAACATACACTATGAAGATACCATTTAATATTTTTTTTGCCTTCAAGCACACTTCAACCTACAAAACAAGTTAATTCAATTGACTTTTGGTACCTGAATCCTTTTGGGTCCTTGTTGGTTAGTATTACGTAGTATAATAACCCAAATAATTGAAATGGATAATTAGGGGTTATTTAATTATTAAAGGAGACTAATGAAATGAAAATTTTATTATTTAAATTAAATCACTTTTGGGATTAAAAGTGTGAATAATGAAAGTTTTGTGGTAAAAATGCACGTAGGCAAAATATCCCAAAAAAAAAAAGGCAAAGTGTGTGTCATTTTAAAGGAAGTAAAATTGTGTCATTTTAAGTGAGAGAAAGAGATAGACAAAGGAGGAGAGAGAGTGGACAAAAAAATAAAGGTGTGGGTCTCACCTCTTTGTGAGAGTGAAAGAATGCAAGTTGTGTCATTTAAAAGGACAAACACTTTTCTCAAAAATAAATTAGTGGAAAATAGAAAATATTCTAAGTGAGTGTTAAGTGTGTTGGGGTACAAGAATCATTAACAATTGTTAGATATTCTTTAAGACAAATATCTCACACCACATTTTCTTTCTCCTCAGTCTTCCTCTCTTTCTCGTGACTTTCTTTCTCTTCTTCTCTCTCTCATAATCTTTTTCCACCCAAAAGCTTCCTCTCTCCCTCTCCTTCATGCTATTTTTAGTTGAGCTTGGGAAAGACTAGCAAATCTTCACCCATTCACTAAACATTCACCTAGAAACCAAAGCCCTTCCACCATTCCCACTTGAAAAGCCTTGGTTTTAGAGAGAAAAACCATCCCCACAAAACACCATTTTCGTGCATCTTCATGGAGGAGCTTGGGAAGTGGTTTTAAAGTTGGAAAGTCCCTCACTTTATCTTGATTGAAGCTTCCGATGTAATAGGACCTACAATCTTTTGTATTCTCATGAAAATGGTATGATTCTATGTTATTCAAAAAGGGTTTTCATGGTTGGAGGGGTAGTTGTGAAAATGAACTTAAATGTCTTCACAAAGTATGTTAGGGGAATGTTCTTGATAGAGAGAAAAAGCATAGAAACCATCACTTTAACCTACTTGAAATTTTGACTCATTAACAAAGTGTTGGATTTTAATGATTTAAGGCTTAGAGTTGGATTTTGATTGTGGTTCAATGTGTGATTGTTGATGTAGTGTGAAACCAAGTGAAATCTTAGTGGAAGAGCATCCTTTGGATCAAGCCATTGGAGAAGACTTAGATTTTTAAGTATTCCAAGTGTAGGGTAAGTTGCCAAAATGTGATTCATGGTGCTATTATAATTGGTAGCTTGATATTTTATGTTTGATATTATGATTGATCACACTTGCACCTTTTAAATAGGTGGTTCTAGTTTGGAAGGTTGTGGTTTGGTTTCTTGGACTAGAAGAGAACTTAGGCAAAGGAAGTGTTATAGCACATAGCTTCAAGAGGTAAGCTTTTGGAATTTGGAATTTATCACTTATTTGTTTCACCATGCTCCGAGGGAGAAGTGGTTTATATGTGGTGTATATAATTGCACTAAAATGTGATATAATGCAAAGTATTTGTGTTTGCTTGTGTGCCACACAAGATGATGATTCCTTATGTGAGACATAAGATGATGATTCCTTATGCCTGGTATAACATGATGGTTCCTTATACCTTGCATGTTGGAAGATGATTTCCTTGCGTAATGCATACTACATAGTATTCTCTGGTCAATAGGACTGGTTGTTTTTAAGCATTTCGTCGATGGCTGATTGACCAGAGAAATGGTTTGATTAAGATTATGTTCATTGCATGATTACAAATATATATATATATATATATATATATATATATATATATATATATATATATAAATATAATATTCTCTCTATTTTACTGCTTTCACACATGAAGTGAACTTGGGTGGATGAATCCTCCAAGTAACCCCTAATTTACTGAGATTGTTATCTCATCCCGTTTGGGGACCATATTTTAGGTACACACACTGATGGTGTTGGAGCATCACGAGGCAAGAGGTTGTCATTGTAATTTATTTCATAGCATGAGACTGTGATGATTATTTTGTTCTACATGTTCTTACTAATGATTATGTATTTTTGGAGAGCATAGTGTGTACCTATGCATATTTTGTATAGACTTGTATATTCTGTTAGAGGAACATAAATAAGGTCTTATTATTTTGATATGATATTTTGAGTTACATGCATATGGACTGTATGTAAACTTTAATTTATTCATAATGTATGTCAAGGAAGAATGTATGAGGTTATTCAACATTTATCTTCTCATGTTACTTATGGAAATTGATGTATGATTATCTAATGATTAGAAAGTAAAGGCACAGATTCTATGATGTGTAATCCATGGATGGATTCTGGGTTGGACTGGTTGATAGTTGGATGCGTGTATGGAAATTGGATAACTATCAATTAGGTACTTTTGCTAAAGTGGGAATGATCCCCAAATCCACCAAATACAAAGGAGATGTCGTCCGTTTTATTTTTAAAAGACGTGAAGTGTTAAAACTGCTCACTTAGTTTTAGTTGGACATCAAATAATCGGTAAATTGCAATACATTAGGAAAGGAGAACTTTTATTCACGTTTTAACATAAGACTAAATGTGATTCAATAAATTTAGCTTCTGCCTTTATTTGATTAAATATGCTGCACTTAATACCATTTGCATGACAATACATGACGGCCAACGGAGTGTTACAGGTAGCCTTGAAACATGTGAAAAATGTGGAGGTAATGTGCCCTTAACATCCCATATTTGCTTGTAACCCTTCACATTTCTTCTAAACTTACAATGATATGCATTATGTCTTTTTCTACCACAATAGTTACACTTCGCAAAAGGACTTTTAGATATGTTTGTTTGGCCTTCTCAAAAAAGTAACTTTTATCTCTTTCTTATTTTAGAAGTGTTTTTTACAAAAGTCAAAGCTATTTATATTTTTATAAAAATATTTAGTTTTTGCAAAAAATATTTGGCTTTTGACTTCTGCTTTTTCTAGAAGTTAAAATTTTTAGCTTATGAAAAAAGTAAGTTTTTGGCTTTTTTTGTGACTTCTGCTTTTTTTTTAAAAGCAGACATCCAAACAAATTAAAAACGAGAAAGGTTTTTTTTAAGAAAAAAAGCAGCTTTTGGAGAAAAAAAAAGCTCACCCAAATGGGCCCATAGTACACATGTGGGTCTTTTTAACATAAGCATGATGCAATTTACTATTTTCATAGCCTAAGCCAAAAGTTCTATGTGTAGGTCTTTTATTACTGATATGCATTCAACATATGGG